TTGCTGCAGCTGCTTTTCCCAGTCACCCGTAGGCCATTCTCCCTGAGATGATAAAATGGCTCACCTCACCCCAGGGTGTTTGGCTAATCACGGCTAAATTATTTTTAAAGTGCTGTTAATGTTAATGATAGGCTTTAATAAGCACTCCTTTTAATGTTTATGTTTTTTTTTCCCTTTAGCCTAAGCTGGTGGAGGCCAGGGCTGTTTTGCAAGAAATAAATCGTGTTATATGCTGCCTACTACATCATTGTTTTTTTTTTTTTTTTTTTTTTTCGAGAACCATAAGACAAAGTAAGCTCTTCCTAACATTAAATGGCCCGGCGTTGGTGGTGCACGCCTTTAATCCCAGCATTAGGAGGCAGGAGGCAGAGACCTGTGGCTCTCTGTGAGTTCGAGGTCAGCCTGGTCTTCAGAGCGAGTTCCAGGACAGGCTCCAAAGCCACAGAGAAACTCTTTCTCGAACAACAACAACAAAAATGTAAATATTAAAGTCTTATTAAATATTAAAATAAACTATTATTAAATAATGGATAAATAAATTATGTTCGTGAGGTGGTTTAGCGTTCAATTACAGATAATCTGGAGGCGAAAGCCCACCCTTTACCACCACCGTCCCCAACCACACCCATCTCTTCCCTTAGTTGGTAACTGGTGCCTGCTTGTCTAGGCATTACAGTTTATCCTAGGGTTGAAAAGTTACAGGCACTCTGCCACGTGACTGAGCCAATGATGATCAGAAAAGGGTATCCAAGACCCATTATATATGGTGGATAAGGTTGTATATTCTGAGCCAATAGGATGGGGCGTTGAGGGTGCTTTGCTAGGCGAGAGCAAAGGTTGTAGAGCACTCTGGAGGACCAGCCCCTGGGAAGAGGGTAGGATTTTTTTTTTTTTTCCAATTGGAAAAAACCACTGTTTCAGGCAGAGCCAGGCGGATCTCTGTGAGTTTAAAACCAGCCTGGTCTACAGAGCGAGTGCCAGGATAGTCTCCAAAGCTGCACAGAGAAACCCTGTCTCAAAAAACAAAGAAACTAAAACAAAACAAAACAAACAACAACCAAAAAACCACTGTTTCTCGAAAAGCCAAAACCAAAATAAATAAATAAATAAACAAATAAAAATCACTATTTCATGCCAACCTGGTACACCACTCCTTTTAGTAGGCCAGCATCCATGTCTACAGAATTGTAAAATAAAAACTTTAACTTTCCCTAGTCTCTTGAATTTGTTATTACAAAGTGAGGGTCTTGTTTCTCACATAACTGAGAGTTTTTAGTCCCTTCCTTGGTGACTTAAGCAAAGAACTGTAGGGGGCTGGAGAGATGGCTCAGAGGTTAAGAGCACTGACTGTTCTTTCAGAGGTCCTGAGTTCAATTCCCAGCAACCACATGGTGGCTCACAACCATCCATTATAAGATTTGGTGCCCTCTTCTGCTGTGCAGATATACATGGAAGCAGAATGTTGTATACATAATAAATAAATAATTAAAAAAAGCAAAGGACTGTCAGCCAAGCAACTGAACAGACTGCCCTCATGCCAGTCCAGTAATTTAAAACATTACATAGACATAATAGACACACAGCAGCATGGTGGGGGTGCTGTGTTTTGTTTTTGGACAATGCTAGATTCACAAATAGTAGGCAAGCGCTTTACAACTGAACTGTGCCCTCAGGGTCAAGCTTTGTGATCCTCATAACTACCTTCTTTAAGTCCCAGAACACTGTGCTCAGCCTCTTTGTTTTGTGTTACACACCTCACAGCCATGTAGCTGAGCATGTCTTTGAATTCCTGGTCCTCCCAAACACTGCGATTGTAGGCCTGTACCACCATACTTGGCACATTTTATCTTTTCTAGTATATTGCATACATGAGGTTATTTATGATGTATTATTTTATATCTGGCCTCTTATTACATGTAGTGCTTTTGGTATTTGTCTATGACTTTATGAGAATGGGGAGATTTTTTCCCCCCAAATGAATCTATCATTTTTACTTAACCACTAATTAATGAGCATTTTAGTTGAATCTAAGCCAGTCTTTGTGATTATAGTTAATATTGGTCTGAGTTCTACAGAGAAATGATAAACCACATTTACAGAGAGTTTTACAATATAGAATGAATTGGCTCATGTGACAATGGTGACAGAAAACTCACACAATCTTCCATCTGCAGACTGGAAACTGGGGAGGTTTATTGGTTTGAGTCTGGAGGCTTAAGGAAAAGGAAAACCTATGGTATAAATTCTAGTCCAAGTCTATTATAGTATGGATATTATCCTCCAAGGTGATTGTTTTGTTTTGTTTCGTTTTGTTTTTGAGAGGGTCTCACTGTGTAGCCTTGACTGACCTGGACCTCACTATGTAGAGCAGGCTACACTAGACTGAAACCCATAGGGATCCTCTGCCTCTGCCTCCCAGGTGCTGAGACTAAAGGCATGTGTCACCACACCAGGCAGGGTTCATGTTTTGAGGGGCTTGTTTCTGAGTATGTGAGGGATGCTGGGCTGGGGAGATGACGCATTAGGTAAAGTGCTTGCTATGCATATATGGGACCCGGGGTTCAGATCCTGAGCACTCACTTAGATGACAAGTGGGCATGGCAGCTCACATGCAATCCTAGCTCTTAGGAGGTGCAGGCAGGAGATTCCCAGAGGACATTGACTAACTCAACAAGCTGGATCAAGCTCTGGGTTCAAGTGAGAGATGCTTCAATATATAAGGGGGAAATGACAGAGGAGAATACCCGCTGCTCACATCTGTCTTACACGCATGCACGCACATGTGTGAACACATGAAATTTGGCCTGGCAGAAATGAGAATAAAGAGCTTTTTCTTTATCTAAATCTCTAAATCTATCAGATTGTTGAAGCAATAAACCCAAGAAACAAGAACTTCCCCAGGGATCTCATGCTTGAAAAAGGAAAAGGCACAAGGTGCGGAGGGACTGGGAAAAAAAATTTCCCACACTTCTAACTTGTCAGACTGTAGAATGAGAATGAAGCCCAGACAATGATGGGTAAATGAGCAGTGGGCAGGACCACACTTTGATCTGGACTCTTTAGAGTTCACATTCTTGGCCTTTATTTAAACTTTAATCTCATCTTGGGACCCAAAGATGGACTTTAGTGGGAGTCATGGATCTCTTTGTCCCTCTTCCCAATATGGCTGCATTGAATAAATTTCCTTTTTCTGATTTTTACTATTAATTTGACTATTTTAATTGACTTCTGGAGGAACTTGACTTCTTGGAGCATAGACTGTGACCTCCAAATTCGGTAAAAAAGAAAAGAAGAAATGCTATGGTTCCACAAGTCTGACTTTTAAAAAAAATAGTACCACATGCCTTTAATCCCAGCACTCTAAGGAGGCAGAGGCAGGCAGATCTCTATGAGTTCGAAGCCAGCCTGGTCTAGAAAGTGAGTTTCAGAACAGCCGGGGCTGGTACACAGAGAAACCCTGTCTTGAGAAACAAAAAACAAACAAACAAACAAATGTACCAATTTGACAGACTATTCTTGTAGGTGTTATTGTCTTTTGCCCCTATCCCATTTTCCCTCTTAGGACTATGGAACCAAGCATCAGCTGAAAAGAAAAAGGAGACTTATTTTTGGCTAAGAGCAAGAGAAATGGAAGATAAACTTTCAAGTCAGTTTAGCAATGCTTGGGCATTGAGAAATAACAGGTACAGAGTTAAGAAGTGAGGAAGAGGTAGGGGGGCTGGAGAGATGGCTCAGAGGTTAAGCGCACTGACTGCTCTTCCAGAGATCCTGAGTTCAATTCCCAGCAATCCCATGGTGGCTCACAGCCATCCATTATGAGATCTGGTGCCCTCTTCTGGTGTGCAGATATACATGGAAGCAGAATATTGTATACATAATAAATAAATAAAATCTTTAAAAAAAAAAAGAAGTGAGGAAGAGGGGATAGGCTTTAAAAAGGGGGGATATTCAGATTTTTTTGTAGATTGGATAGTGAGCATTTTGGAATTCAGATGATACTTCTCCCTGCTCCCTTCCCCCTTTTTTTCCTTTTGATCACTGCCATGGTAATTGTTAAATGTCACCAGTCTGTAGTGGTGAGACATAGGCCAGCAGTGTTTCCCCTGTAGCCCGAGGAGTTCCTCACCTTGGGGTTATGGAATGGGGTAAAGTTAAACCTTTGACTACACAGCAGAAATAAATTCCAGAACCAGCCAGAGAGAAGCAAAGTTAGCAACCCTGCTAAGTAGAGATAAGGGATAGTGCATACTTCAGATTTAAGTGCTGGCTCTGAGAAAGGCGGGGAGAAGGCTATCCATACTCAAGATGGGTAAAGAGCTCAACAGAGAGTTGTGCTTAGTGGTTTCCATGGTAGATAAATGTGATTGCAACGTTCTGTTACATTGCTCCAAGAAAAGTAATCTACAGCAAGTTTTAAATATTCAACAAAGGTTAAGAATTAAGTAAAAACATATGGTCCAGTTTACTTTTTCTGTTTTTTTTTTTTTTCTGAGACAGAATTTTGCCACCATCACCAGCTCAGTTTTCTTCTCTTACACTCAAGAATTTCTTTTTACAAATAAAATTATAAAGTAATTTTTACAAAGTACATTATTTAAATTTAGATATTCGAGAAGCATCCTGACCCAGGAAAACCGAACACAAACATTCTGGCCCTGAGGTGTCTGTAGGAAAATCAGTATTATCACTGTAGGCCATCTTGTCTTGTTTGTTTTTTTTTCAATAATGTTGAAATTTTTTTTAGATTTTAGGGTGAGGGCCTAAATAACAAATGTTTAAAGTTATCTTTTGGGGAAAGTCTCAATTCTTTCACTAGATTTCTAACACTTTGCAACTAGTTTTCCTTTCTTCCCTTCCTCTTCTTTTTCTTTTTTCCCTTTGCTTGCCTGCTGAGTCATATTTCTAGCATTAAAGCTCCTTTCTTTGATTTTCATTATAACTTTCTTTTCTCCTCTCTCTCCCTCTCTCTCTCTCTCTCTCTCTCTCTCTCTTCCCCCCTCTCTCATTTGGCTTTTCAAGACAGGGTTTCTCTGTATAGCCCTGACCATCCTGGAACTCACACTGTGGACCAGGGCTGAACCAGAGATCCACTGCCTCTGCCTCCCAAATGCTGGAATTAAAGGCATGTGCCATCATCACCTGCCCTTTATTCTATCTCTTAATCTGTTTATCTCCTTGAACATGGGATGTAGCTCCATTCCACTCCCTGGTTCTCCTTTTAAAATTATGCATTTTCTATTTTTCCTTGCTCAGCTTGTGCCTTTTCAATATGTATCTTTCATTACACAACAGAGTCTATACTGGGCTGTTTTGAGATTTCCTCTACCAACAGAATTAATACAAATATCTTCTCTTTAGTCTCAGGCAGACTCTTTGGACAAGGCCAAATGCAGCCACATTCTTCACCAAAAATCACAAGAATGATATCTGGGCAACACACTAAAATTCTTCTCCTCTGAAACCTCTTGAGCCAGGTCCCCATAGTTCAAATCTTCTACGCTCCTAGTATGATCCATTAAAGCATTCCATTGTAAACCAAAATCCAAATTCTTACAAACAAAACAAGGTCCAACCTATCCACAGCAATACCCCACTCCTGGTACGAACTTTGTCTTAGTTAGGGTTTCTATTGCTGTGAAGAGACCCCCATAAGCATGAAACTCTTATAAAGGAAAACATTTAATGGGGCTGGTTTGCAGATTTAGAGGCTTAGTTTATTATCAGTATGGTGGGACATGGCGGCATGCAGGCAGACATGGTGCTGGAGAAGGAGCTGAGAGTTCTACATCTTGATTCACAGGCAACAGGAAGTAAACTGTGAGCCTGGGCATAGTTTGAGCATAGGAGACCTCAAAGCCCACTCCCACAGAGATACACTTCCTCCAACAAGACCACACCTATTCAAACCAGGCCACATCTAATAGTGCTAGTTCCTTTGGAGTGATTTTATGTCAAACCACAACACTAATAAACAGTGTTTACTTTTTAAAACCCAAACCAAAAAACAAAAACAAAAACAGAAACAGAAAAAAACCTATGCTGTAAGAATTTTTCTGAAAATTATATTATTTGGTTTTTCTATTTGTCTGAACTAAAGTCCATCACACACACACACACACACACACACACACACACACACACACACACCACACCACACCTTCATCTATTTGTAAGTGGATACTTAGGTTCTATAGTGATTCTATAGCTCAGATATTGTGAATAGTGCCATATTAAAAATGGATGGTAAGCCAGGAGGTGGTGGTGTATGTCTTTAATCCCAGCACTCAGGAGCAAAGGCAGGTGAGTCTCTGAGTTCGAGACCAGCCTGGTCCACACAGAGAGTTCCAGGACAGCCAGACTGTTACACAGAGAAGCCCTATCTCAAAAACAACAACAACAACAACAACAACAACAACAAACAAACAAACAAGGGTGTCATATGTCCCTGTTGCATGATGATATTCTTTGGGTATATAGTATATACCAAGGAGTAATCCACCTGGATGATGTGATGGTTATATTTTTAGATTTTTTTAACCCTCTATTCTAATTTCCCCAACAGCTGCACTAATTTACACTTCCGCCAACAGTGCACAAGTGTTCCCTGTCCTCCATCTTCTCCAGTGCTTCCTTGATTTCTTCCTTTAGGCCATTTTCACTAAGGTGAGATAGACTGTGCATTTGTGGTTTGCATTTCTTTAATGGCAAACAACATTTAACATTTTAAAACAAGTCATTAGCCATTTGTACTTCTTTTTGAGAACCATCTTTTTGATTCATTTGCTCATTTACTAATTGGATTATTATTTTTAATATTGTTTTTTTAATTATTTATTTTTATTTTATGTGCGTTGGTTTTTTTTTTTCAGACTTACTATGTATAGTGTTCTGACTGCATGTACACCTGCAGGCCAGAAGAGGGCATCAGACCTCATTACAGATGGTTGTGAGCCACCGTGTGGTTGCTGGAAATTGAACTCAGGACCTCTGGAATAGCAGCCAGTGCTCTTAACCTCTGAGCCATTTCTCCAGCCCTATTTTTAATATTGTGTAACTTTTAAAAATTCTTTATAGATTCTGGATATTAACACACTGTCAGATGAAGAGCTGGCAAAGATTTTTTTCTGTCCATGTTCTCCTTAACTCTGCAATAATCTCTTTATGTTCATTTATCATTTTAAAGTTATTTTACTTTTTTCTTTTCTTTTTCCTTTCCTTTTCTTTTTTATTTTTTTGAGTCAGGATCTTTCTATGCAGTTCTGGTTATGTTGGATATCATAATATAGATCAGGCTGGACTCAAATTCACAGAGATCCACCTGCCTCTGCACCTGGGATGAAAGGCATGCACCACCACCTGGCTTTGTTTTTCATTTATGAGTCTTTGCCTACATGTATGCCTGTGTATGCCTGGTTCCTGAGAAGGGCATCAGATTCCCTGGAACTAGAATTAGAGATAGTCATGAGGCACATGTTAGGAATGTCAGGAATAGAACCTGTGTCCTCTGTAAGAGTAACCAGTGTCTTAACCTCCAGCCCAGTCTCTTAATTTCATGGAATCCTACTTTTATTTTTTTCTCGAAGAAACAGGGTCTCATGTAGCCTGGGCTGGGACATATTGGGTTTTTTGGTTTATTTTTATTTATTTTTTGGGGGGATATTTTGTTTATGATTTAATAAAGCTTGCCTGGGAATCAGAATGCAAAGCCAGCTACACTAGTTAGCTATAGAAGCTGGGCAGTGGTGGCACACAACTTTAATCCCAGGACTCAGGAGACAGAGGCAGGTGGATCTCTGTGAGTTTAAGGCCAACCAGGGCTACACTAGAGTGAATTAGTCTAAAAGAGTAACAGAGCTCACAACTTTAATCCCAGCACTAGAGAGGTATATAAGAAGCAAAGGGTCTCAATAGAGATTTAGTTTCCAGTCACAGGGAAAACAGGATCTCCACTTCAGCCTTGGTAGAGGTAAGACCTACTGGCTGGTTGTTTTGCTTTTCTGATCTTCAGGCAAGCTTCATATCACCACAGAGGATGACTTTGAATGTCTGATCTTCCTGTCTCCCCCTGCCAAGTGCTTAGATTATTTACTCATGCTATCACCCTGGATGTACAGTAGTGGGTTAGACTCAAGGCCTCTGTCTGCTAGACAGTCACTCTATCTACTGATTTATACCCTCAAGTCACATTTGCAAACTCTTTTCTTTTTAAAGATTTATTATACTTTTAAAAATATGTATGTGTGTGTGTGTGTGTGTGTGTGTGTGTGTGTGTGTGTGTTGGTGCCTGCAGAGGTCAGAGGCATCAGAGTCCCTTGGAGCTCGAGTTACAGGTGGCTGTAAACCACCTGCCATGGGTGCTGGGAACTGGACTTCGGTCCTTTGGAGAGCAGTTATGTGCTCTTAACAGCTGAGTCATCTTTCTAGGCCCCATTGACAATTCTTGCTCTTAGCTCCTGGACTTCAGGAATACTGTTTAAAAAGCCTTTGTCTATATCTACATCTTGAAACTTGAGAAGTTTCAAAATTTTGGAGCAGACTCTTAGGCAGTCTGGGCTGGCCTTGAACTTTCTATGTAGCACCTTTTGCCTCCATTTCCCCTGTTCTTCATTACAGATGTGCACTACCATACCCAGCCTTGTTATGCCATGCTGGAGATGGAACCCAAGACTCCATGCATGCTAGGTTTATCAATGAGCTATACCCCCAGACCCCTCATCCCCTTTGTGAGACAGAGTTTCTCTGCATAGCCTGTTGTGGAGCTCAACCTATAGACCAGGCTGGCCTTGAACTCACAGAGATCCACCTGCCTCTGTCTTCTGAGTGCTGGGATTAATAGGCGATCGAGCACCACTACCATCTGGCCCCAGTTTCACAATAAAAATTGAGTTACTCTATGAGCATGGGAGGTCTTTTCATTTTCTAATGTCATTTTTCAATTCTTTATTCAGTAGGTCTGAAGTGTTTCAGAGTTTTTTATTGTAGGTCTTTTGCTACATTGGTAGACTGCCCATCATACATGACACCCTGGGTTTAGTTACTAGCACAGGTGTGCTTGCACATGCCTATAATCTCAGCACTCAGGTGGGTGATGCAGGCATTAAGGTCATCCTTAGTTGCATAGTGAGTAGGAGGCTAGTCTGGGCTACCTAAAACTTTGCCTAAAAATGGTCCATTAATTTTTGTATATTGATTTTTGTATCTAACTACTTTGTTGCCAAGTGTTACCAGATATTGAAATATCTGGTAATCATGGAGGTTTTTGTTTGTTTGTTTGTTTTTTGTTTTTTGTTTTTTTTTTTTGAGACAGGGTTTCTCTCTGGCTGCCCTGGAACTCACTTTGTAACTCTGTAGATCAGCTGGCCTCTAATTAACAGAGATTTGTCTATTTGTCTGCCTCTGCCTCCTGAGTGCTGGGATTAAAGGCTTGCACCACTACCAGATTTTTAAGTAAAGTGTCATATCATATGCAAATAAGAAGTTTGATTTTGATTCTTCCTTTCCTGTTTGTATTCTTTTTGACTTTACCTGCAGGGTAGAAAGCAATGGAAGAATACTGAAGATACAGGTGGGGGGATTCATTGAAAAACCCAACTTGACCTGGGAATCACAAAGGCAAGAAACAGGCTGGAATGACCGAGGCGCCTATTTAATTTGAATGTATGTGTCTAGAGCTGATGAGATGTTAGGATCTCCCTCATACAGAGAGGTCTGGTTATTGGGGAAAGACACAGGGTTATCTTAAGAGGATGAGGGGCAAGGACATTTCAGGAATACAGAAGAAATGGAGAGTGAAGGACATTGATCAAAATGGTTTTTTCTTCAAAAGTAAGAATATACTCACTCAGGCAGCGTATTTAGAAGATGATGCATTCATGCAATACTTCCCATTTATTAAGAAACGTTTGTAATTTACCAAAGCAGTGAAAATAACCCTGAAAAGGAAACAACCCACTGAAAAAACACCCAGAGCTACAACAGAATCCAGTAACATTAAGGCTTCTTTGAGAGCCGATTAGAAATGCTGTGATTTTTCAGGTCCCAGCCCGGACCCACGGAATGAGCATGCCCAGAATACCCTGAACACTAGGGCCGAAGAGCATATTGTTTGAAA